GGAAATGCAGAACTTATTTTAAATTACATTTTAGTGATCTTATAGTTTAAGTATTTTAATTTTATTTTTAGTATTTCAATTAATTTATTTAATGAAAAAATATAATATATATATATTTCAGTGATTCCTCCATGAACCACTAGAGGGAGCTTGGGTACCACCAGTGGTACATGTACCATAGTTTGAGAACCAGTGGTCTAATGGATATCAAAATTCAAATAAAACACCAGAAAGGTGTGAAATATGGGACCTTTAATTAAGTGAAATAACAGCTAAGGTTACATCTGATATTTCCAATTCCTGTCTTTTATGTGCATTTTCCAGCTGACACCATGGATGAAGCTGTATGGTGGTTTCCTCATGCCTCCCAGGGAGCTCTGCTGTAGGATGCATGCCTGTGTCTCCATTTGGATGCTCCCACAGATGATTTCCCACCTCTGCTTTCTCATCCTGTCCAGCTTGGCAGTCTCATCCCAACTACTGGGTGAGTCCATGTACCTCTTAGTATACGTTAACCACTAGATGTTCACTGTCCCTAAACATGATTCATCGTAGATGAGACTACAGTTAAATGCACTAAGCACTACACTGCAATGAAAGTGTCTTTAGTTTTCTGATACAAAGCCCAATACATGTCACCATACTGTATAAAGATATTCCAATGAAATAATTAAGTAGTGAAAATATTTTATGTCATCTGATTGTCTCTAACATCCATTGCCTATTTAAACTGTGTGTTCCAGGTTTGGAGGATGTTTTCTTTAGTCCGCAGGACCAGACAGTCAGAGAAGGAGAGGGAGTTTTCTTCCAGTGTGTGTCAGGGGAGAGTTCACCTCCTGCAAGCGTCACCTGGCTCAAAGATGGGACACTGGTCACAAGAGGTAGACAGATTCAGGTGAGCACAGCTTTAGACAGAGTCAACAGATTATTAGAAAGGTATCAAACACCACTTATGCAGGAAAAAAGGGTCAAGGGAAGATGAATGAATGAATTAACAGTGCTAAAATGCAATGCAGCTTCAACAACCGGTGGAAAGTTCAGTGGTCTTCACACCACTTTTGAAATAATTCAAAAGGCTGCAGCAGTCCTTCAGATCCATGGGAAGAAATTATTATCCTCCCAGTCTAAATTTGACTCAGATACCTCCTTGGACTGAAATATCTTTACCACTGATATGAATTAAATAAAAAGGCCTTGTGACATCGCCATCATTTTTTGGGACAACTAGTTTATATGGTAAACCTTCTGTAGGCCTTTCCTTACCGCTTACCTCATCATGCAGGGTCCTAGAGGGGACTATGTGAACATTAGGCAAATTTATTTATATAACACATTTTACACACAAGACAACCTATAGTGCTTCACAGAAGTCATGAGCAAAAGCACACAAAAAAAAATAAACAGGTAACAAATAAAATAATAATAGCAAACAAGCAAAAGCACATAGGATAACACATAAAATCAGACAGACAAACAATGAAACAAATTAATTTGATTAAAACGATTACATTCTTTAAAAGCAATGGTAAACAGGTAGGTCTTTAGCTTGGATTTTAAAGTAGTCAGCATTGTTTCAAATCTTAGTTCTTCTGGCACTTTGTTTCACATTTGAGCAGCATCAAAAATAAAGGCAACTTCACACTTAATTTTGATTCTGGGAACAGCCAGTTATCCAGAACCAGCCGACCTGAGGTGTCTTCAAGGTTTGTACTGGGTCAAGAGATCTGATCTGAGGTATCTTGGACCTAAATCATTCAGTGACTAATGGACAACCAGCATCATTTTTAAGTTGGTTCTGTGAGAAACTACTAGCCAATGTAGTGATCTGACAATTATATGGAGTTATATGCTTTGCATTTTTGGTCAGGTCAGAGCTACAGCTGTCTGATTGCGGCCTTAGACAGACCTGTGAGGAGCGATTGCAGTAGTCCAGCCTGCTTGTATGCATTTATCTCTAGCCTCTAATAAAATTAGAGGCTGTTCTCCCCAAAGGACCCCCTGATTTCAGGATTTGGAAGTCCAGCGAATATCTGGGACCTTGGTGCGATCATTATCAGGTATCAGTGTGATGTCAATGGTCCAGCTTCAGCCAGGTGCCCCTGTATGTGTCTCATGCGAGAAACTTTCCTTACTGTCTCCATTATGATCCGTCTCACAAGGAGGTAGCTCCACCTGCAGATCAAGAACATATTTAATGAGATAAGGACATCTTCATTAGTTACTAACCAATCAATTAAGTGTTTCAGACATGACCCAACATTCAATGAAACTGCAGTTTTTTGGTAGCTTGGAATAGCCTAAGTAAAGCAGCTTCTCAGAAAAAACATTATGAAACCTCAAAAAAAAATATTATTAGACGCTTTAACCCAGATGTATTATACTCTGTGCTTCAAACTGTGTTTTTATGTTCAGGGTGAGTATGGAGGTGGTAAACAGAAGAAGACCTCAAGCACTCTGCATCTTTTCAACGTAACATTAGAGGATGATGGGATGTACATTTGTGTCACACACAATCCTTTACTGAACATCAGCAAGAGGAGCAAGCCAGCTAAACTAACTGTGCAGGGTGAGTATGTGTACATGATTTTGTTTTTATTTTTGTTTTTTACTCTTACACTTTTCAATTTGTATTGGCATATTGTCACTTTAAGCACAACTTTAGTGTCACACAAATGTTGCTTTAGGTGAAAATATCCCCTAATACACTAATTAAAAGCAGGAGATATTATACATTCCCAATTTAAATATTTTTATTCTACTTTAAGACCCAGTGTGACATTTAATTACTTAATTACATACATTTCTTGCAGCAGGGTTAATAACTTAAACTTTACCTTGCAGGGGTCCCTAGAAGGCTGCAGATCATCCAGGGTCCCGTCAACATCACTGTTGCTATAGGAACAGAGGTCTACATGCACTGCACTGTTCGTGGCTTCCCTGTTCCCATGGTGCACTGGTTCAAAGACGACTGCCTCCTGACAAACTGCTCAGCCTCGTTCAGCCTTCAGAACAATGGACAGCTGCTCACATTCAGGTCCTACACTGCATGGGACAAGAGGAATATTAATCCTTTATTGTTTTTCTGCCAAATTGTAATGATGAATCAAGAACTATGCACTGTAAAAATGACGCTTGTTTTGCATTGAGTTTGTTGAGGAATATGTTATATAATATATTTATAGTTTGTGTTAAGTTGTGGTCCTCACAGTTTGAAGTTTTGATGTTCAAAAGTGTTTTTATACTTCTGCAAGACAGAATTAAAAATCTTATTTCTGGCTGTGTTTTCAGGAATGTGACCAAGGAGGATGAGGGCTCGTATCACTGTGAAGCATCCAACCAGAAAGAGTCAATCAAGTCGCAGCCAGCCTTCCTTCTTCCAGCCGGTACTGTGTACCAACATCTGCACGTTACACAACTCTCCTCTAGTACACCATGCTTTATTTACAAATGTCTTCAGCTATCTTGTTTTCATCAGGATGCTGGCTGAGACGGTTTCCGATATGATCGATATAAATAAAAACCATAACATTTCAATAATTATTACCTAGCAAATACGGCTATTCATTCTAAGCCATGAATTACATATCACTTTCTCAAAACTGGCTGATTAAAGTAAAAAATCACAATAAAAACTGAATGTAGCATTTTTAAATAATTTTCAAAGTAGATGAAAAGCCTTGTTTAAACAAACAACAGACAAAGGCTGATTTAATTAGTACTTTGTTTCTCAGACCACATTTAACATACTTGTTCTACCTCTTATGAAAAGCATGTTGCTCTTTGTTACCAGGCCTTTTAAAGGCTAATATGATTTTTCCTGAGGATAAACATGATGTAAATATTGTTACTCTATTGGCTTCTGCTTCTGAAGATTCAATTATGAAATTATTTTTTAATGTATTAGTTTGTTAGCCTTTCTGTGTTAGTTTGTCTTCTTGTCCAGGTTTTCATTTATAACATTTAGGATGACCTATTGGCAATATAATATTCATATGTATGCTGTAATTTGTGTATAATCACCTGAATATGAGAATAGTTTACCTTAGAATGAGCCGTTTCTATCTATAGACACCACAGGCCGCCTTACATGGAGGCCACCATGTTTCTACAGTAGCCCAGAACCAGCAACCCAACACTGGCAGTAGAGGTAGGTAGTTCTGCCTATCACACTTGATTAATGCAAACTGTCACCACTAGATGCCACTACACTCTTTTACATGATGTCAAAATAGCTCAAGAATATAATCCTCTCAGGATTGTTTTAACTTTTACTCACATAACATGACTCATGACTGAGGAAACTAGTGCATACATAAGA